TCACTTTTAAGGATACTTGGTTATTGGAGAAATGCATGGTCTTTCTCCGTTGTTAGTGGGAGTGGTATTGTTGGGGTACAGCTGGAATAAGCAGTTCCGAAGGCCCCCACGGGAGGATGAGATGTGGTAGAAAGCTTTATTTTTGTGGAATTACATTTCATCAGTAAAGCTAGAAGCAGAGTCAGAGTCCAAAGTCTTCGTTCCATGGTGGAATTGCATCCGGCTTAGCATTGGGTGAGTTGCAGTCCATTTGTCCATTGTAGGGGAGCCACCGGGCTGTGGGCCATGTGGGCAAATGCAGGAGCAGGAGAGCCCCTGAGAAACCAGGAACGCAAGAGTGCAAGAGGGAGGACTCCTTGTTTAGGAGGTTAAATATCTGAAATCTTCCCGGCCTGCAGTGGCCATGCCTACTCTGTCCAACGACCTGTTCCCAGGGGTGACTGACAGGCAAGCACTGTCCCTATTTCACCCAGACCTTCCTGGGCATGTGTCTATTCTCTCCCTGTTCAGCCCCTTCCCCCAGCGATCTGCGGGGAATAGATCTGGGGAGTGTTAAACTGCAGCTTCCTGGCAAAGCTGCACAAGTGACATGTCTACAATATCTGGCCTTCCCTTTGCTCCTTTCCTGTCATTCATAACTAGGTTAAATGACAGTGCTGCCAACTTGACTCTCAATTTCCCAGTGTCAGAAGATGTCATGCATCTAGGGAGCCCCGCTGTGATTTTATGGGCAGTCTTGCCCTTTGTTTCATGTGCCCGAAAGCAGTGCATACCAGACTTTCCTGTGATATGAATCACTCAGGGATCTTGCGAAAATGCAGTCTGAATCAATAGGTTTAGGGTAGGGGCCTGAGATTACATTTTTAATAAGCTCCCAGGTGCTAGCAAGCTATTGTTTGTTTGTGCAGTGACTTCCCTCTCTGTTTCTACACTGGAATAGGCTCCGTGTGCTTCCAAAACAAACCAAGGCAAGTTCTCTCCCAGTCAGAAGTGCCGTCTGGTCTGATGTCAAGTTCATGGCACTCCTGGACAGAAGACACTGTTGTGGTGGTTCTCCTTTTTTAGATAGTACTTTTATTTTTCTTCCTCTTACCCATGCTAAGTACCCAGGACAGTGAGGGAGTTTAATAGGTGGTGTTTTGGTTAACAATGAGATTAAATATCTGGTGCAAAAGCCTCCACAGGTCCATAGAATAAATTTAGAATCGAGGGCTTTCCCCGTTTGATCTGGAACTTTCTCCAGTGACCTCAACCCTATGCCACCCAGGATTCTCACGCAGTTCTCTGGGGAAACGCCTTTCTCAAGTCTTCCCCTAACCTCCTTGCTTTTCTTCTTTTTCAGCTTTTGCTCCAATCCACTTCCTCATCTTTTTCCTCTGTGACTCTTTTCGTAGGTTATTCATTTTTTCATCAGGAATTACACTCTTTCATATGCGCATGTGTGTGTGTGCGCGCACACACACACACACACACACACACACACTGAGGAAGAATGGGAGGGAGACAGTTGCAGATGGAGAAAGGAAAGGACCACTGTGTCTTTTATCTTTTGTCGACATAAACCCCAAGAAATTCCTAATCCCACAAACATCAGCATAGGAATATTTTCAATACAATATTTTGAATATTGTACAATATTTTCATCTGACAAATAATCATTATAATGGTCTCTCTCTAATTTTAAAATCAAAAGTAAAGTTGTTTTGTTCTTGAAAATCCCTTTATGAAAATATGTTGTTCTTTAAAAAGAGGGTTTAATGACTATAAAGTGTGATTTTTATTTTTTAATCCTCACCTGAGGATATTTTTCCATTTATCTTCAGATAGAGTGGGAGGGGGAGAGAAAGAGAGAGACATTGATGTGAGAGAGACACACCGACTGGCTGCCTCCCACCCTCCCCTGACCAGGGCCAGGGACCAAACCGCAACCCCGGTATATGCTCTTGACCAGAATCGAACCTGCGACTCTTTGGTCAACAGGCTGACACTCTTAACCGCTAAGCCAAACCAGCCAGGGCTGAAGTGTGATTTTTATGGAGATTCCAGCAAGTACAAAATGGCTTCAATACTTGAGTCAAATAGGCAAAATGAAATAAACAGGTGCCAAGGACCCTGGACGTGGAAATAATCTTTGGCATTAAAAATGGGGAAAGGATGATGTGGAGTTTGTGGGGTCTGCAGGGTTGCGGTAACAGTTGCTGTTCTGTTACCACATATTTTCTTCAGTAGGAGACAGAGGTTTGGAAAGGGAGTGGGACGTGGACTGTCTAAATGATGTAGGGGTTGAAAAGGCAGATAAGTTACATATTTAAGAAGTTTGAACAACCTATGCAGAAGAAGAATATTTGTGCTTGAAGGGCAAAAGAGCTGTGAGGGGCTTGCAGGTTGGGAATAAAAGCCTCTGAGGCCATTTCGACTTAATGTCCTTAGCCCTTATGTGGAAGGGTCAGATCCTAGCATGAGTAAGTGTTCAGGGAAATTAGTGTTTTCATATTAACTGGAGATAACACTGGGGTTAAAATAAATTATATATGAATAGCTTTTGTGTAGTGAATAAGATAGTGAATGATCATCTTTGTTTATTTTTTGCATTTAATTCTTTATAAATATCCTTCAAGCCAGATGTAACATTGTTTAATTGGATAGTTTAATGAAGAATCAGAGCTTTGATAAAAAAGTAAAAATAAACAGAATAGCCAGTAAAATCTTTTACGTCTCTATCAGTGAGTTTAGACTAGGACATGCCACAGTAACGATCTCCAAATTGAGGTGATTTTCAAGAACGAAGGCTTATTTCTTGATGGTGCTTACATGTCCAATGGAGGTCAGCAGGGGGGCTCAGCTCATTGTACTCACCCAGAGATCCAGCCTCTCACTGTGCCTTCATTTCCCTATGTGGTACCATAATTCCCGAGGCAGGGCAGGAGAGGTCATGGAGAATGGCAAATTCGATGTTTCTGCCTAGAAGTGAAATGCTCACATTTCTTTGGCCAAAGCAAATCCCATCGCAAGGAGGCAAAGACATGTCATCCTCCAGGTTCCTGGAAGTAGAGAAGGACAGCATTTTTGTGATCACTGTTTCTACCATAGTCCACCTTCTGTTCACCAAATATGTGGTTCACTCTCCTTGCCTGCATAGTATCTTCCCCCTCTCCCTGAGGGAAAGCACTCCAGAGTCCCATCCTATCAGAGGTGAAGCTCAGGGTCTGGAATTTCTAAATGGTATCCTATATTCATTACATAAGGTCCGAATGGGTAGAATAGAGCAGGAAAATAGCACTAAAGTTTTCCATTTGGAGAAAGAAAGAATGTGAGGTGCATAGTAGTTTTGGTCTGTGGCGACCTTGAAATCCTGCTTGGGTGACATTGGGGATCCCCTAGCCAGGGCGTGTGGAATGTTCTTTGATGAAATCTAGATTCTGCTTTTCAAGACGGTCCCAACTTCCAGGGACTTTTTGTGGTCCCTGGCTCCAACCCCTGGCAGGTAATTGCCCCCAATAATCTCTTTGCCATGTCTGAAACAGTGTCTGCAAATAGACCTTCCTTGGTGCCTTAGTTCCTGCTTCTAGATGGTTAGGGGACTGATGGTTGGTTCATAATTAATTTTAAGAGCTCTCTAAAAAACTTAGTAAACTTCTTATCTAAATTGGCTCTTTTTGTAGCATAATTCCCAGAATATCTCTATTTCTTTGCTTTTCACTTCTCTCTCTCTCTCTCTCGACTTAATGGTAGTTTACTAGAACTATGCATTTACACTCTTTATTCTGGGTCCTTTTATTCAATTAAAAGGACATTGTGATTCTTGCCCATAGGAAACTTATTTGGCTGAAAGGCTTTACTGGGCACTTCTTCCTTAAAGGATTTTTCAAGCTTATCTTTTGCTTTTGACAGGTAGAATTTGTTGTTTTAATTTTGCAAGTCTCTGCATTTCTGGACTCCATTCTCTCCTTTTTGTTTGCAAACCTGCCAACTCTTTCCTGAGCTCATCTCTTTCTTGTATTAGCTTGCCAAAAGCAGACAAATAACACCCAACACACACAGCTAACCTTCTGTTTTCTAGTCTCTTCCTCTAGAGCTTTTGTACTTCTAGGTGCAATATCTGCCTCTTAAGTTATTGCAGGCAATAATTTTACCAAATGCTTTGCCATTGCATACAGTGGATCATCATTCATCTAGCCTACAATGTCATTGTCATCACAGCCTGACCCTTGACCTCTGTGTTGACAATGCCACTATGTTAGCACCTCCCATCTAGGCATCAATTTCTGCATCTACATATATACTTCTAGGTTATGGCAGCATATCTTGATTAGATTCACCTTTTTTTTTTTTTGAGGTAACTTAAACGTTCTTTAAAAATTTTATTTTTCAATTATAATTTACATTCAATATTATTTTGTATTAGTTTCAGGTGTACAGTACAGTGATAGACAGTCATATACTTTACAAAGCGTCCCCCTGATATTTCCTGTACCCACCTGGCACCATACATAGTTATCACAATATTATTGACTATATTCCCTATGCTATTCTTTACATCCCCGTGACTGTTTTATAACTCAATTAGTACTTCCTGATCCCTTTGCCTTTTTCACCCAGCACCCCTTGTAAAAATTTTTAAGGTTGGCTATTTGAAACTAAATGTGTTCTACCACTAGGTTTTCTCTCTGCTATGTTGCTAGCATTCAGCCTCTTGGGAACATTTTAACCCTTATTTTTATCACCTTGATCAGCACAGTCCAATATAAATATAACATAAGCTATATGTGATTTTATCGTAGCCATTGGTAACCAGTGTGACTTTACATTGCTACAGTAGATCTCTGGAGTCTTGCCGATGTCCTTTGTCCAGCTAATCCTTCTAGGTTGCTAGTGAACAGATAGTTTGTGATCACATGATCATCTCTCCGTGTTATATAGGACTGACTCTCATGACAACTGGATTGGGAAACAATTACTTTAAAAAGATGTGTACACATTTTAAAAAGATACTACTTTATAAGTCATTTCAAAGAGAGTTAATGGGACCAAAGCCAGGAGCTCTTAATACTGTGACCTAGGATGGAAGTTCTCTATAGGATGTAACAGATACTCAACAGTGCTATATTTTCCTGAAGAGATATAAGGGAAAAAAACCTAAATAAAATGAAATGTATACATTTAACTATAAATATCTCTAACTATTTCATGTCATTATGTTCTTGGTTAATATATGTGTGTTTGCTTTCTTTCCATAATAAGAGTCTAAACTGATGAAGGTAAGACTATCATAGTACAGTCTATTACCTGTAAGAGCCCCAACAAACATGTAGTTGGACGTTAAAAAATTCTTGCTAACTTAGCCTTGGCCAGTTTGGCTCAGTAGTTAGAGCGTTGGCCCGTGGACCAGAGTCCCAGGTTCAGTTCCTGCTAAGGGCACGTATCTCAGTTGCAGTTTGTCCCTGGCTTCGGTTGGGGTCATGTGTGTGGCATCCACTCGATGTGTCTCTCTTGCATCGATGTTTCTCTCTCTCTCTCCTTCTTGCTCTATCTGAAGATGAATGCAAAAATGTCCTCGGGTGAGGATAAAAGAAAAAAAATTCTTGCTAACTTAGATGTTTGATCATATAACATCTTCACCCCATGGACGGCTATGTGCTACTCATTCTTGGGCTCTTTCTGTGGGCTCCTGCGTTGTGTATGGAGTGTCCTAGCTGTCACTGTGTTGCATGGTGGCTCCACTTGCATTATGGAAATGCTTCAAGCTGGTAACAGCCTGGGTCACGGGTGGTGCAGGGCCAGGGAGCGAAGGGCTTCCACCATAGCCAGCTCTGTGTTCGTCGTATATTCATTACCGTGTCCCCAGTATTAGCACTTGATTTACATGATACAAGTGCTCAATAATGTTAGATGAAATAATGATTGGAATCTTTTGATTCAATTTAAACTTGGTGAAAGCGGGTTACTAAGTTAGTCATTTTTACCTCAACAGGGGAAAGCGCTGCGACCACAGGACGTAAAATGTCAGTGCTGATTCTTTCACAAAAGGCCATTTAATTCTCCCCAGCAGACGGGGCGGGGAGGGAGGGGGAGAGGGGAATCAGTGGGGAAAAAAGGAGAAACATCTGTAACAAAAATAAATAAATTAATTAAGAAAAATTTCTCCCCAGCAATTCAGAAACTCTTCTTGTACTAGATTAGGTACTTTTAAGTCAATGGGATTTACTTGTTCCCTCTTTCAAGAGAGCTGGTGTGGTCTTCTACGCATTGAGGCATGGCTCTGAGTGGGTAGGACACCACCAAAAAGGTGGGTGACTCAACCGCTCAACGTAATATGCCCTAGGGGTCTGCTGCACATATTGCTTAGGTAGCATGAGTGATGCATTAAGACATGGTCTTGACTTCATGGTATTAGTATTACTGAATATCTGGTACAGTCTTGAAAATGAGAAGACGGGCTTACAGGTATCAGTCCAGTTAGAAGGGGTTGACCAGGAGACTTGTCTTGAATCTGTACAGGCATGCATAAAAATATACTGTTTAATTTATTTACTAAAATTTTTTTTTTCTTTATTGATTTTAGAGAGAGAGGAAGGAAGAGGGAGAGAGAGATGAAAACATCAATAAGAGAGAACATCGATTGGCTGCCTCCTGCATGTCCCCCATTGGGGATCAGGTCCACAACCTGGGCATGTGCCCTGACTGGGAATTGAACTGGCGATCTCTTGGTGCATGGGTCGACACTCAACCAGTGAGCCACACTGGCCGGGCTACTGTTTTAATTTAGATTGCATATTTGGGGATGCATATTTAGAGGAGACTGGTAGAGATTACTGGGGGAAACTAAAGTTACCCTAAGTCCATGAAGACCCCAGAGACTCATCCCAAAACATATAAACAAGTACATACTAAACTAATTACGAGCAGAGAGGTAAGGGCATGATGACTGAGAGAACAATTCCAGGAAGTCTTCTTTTAGGAGTTCAATTTTTGATTGTTCCAGAGGAGAGAGGCAGAGAAGAATCCCCCAGCGTGGAGAGTAGACACGTGGACGAAAGGCCCATGATCACAGATGAATTTTGATCAAGTTTGGAGGGTCTTCCAATGAACCCAAGAGCTGCTGCTTCCTTTCCTTCAGTTAAAGGAAATGGAGGAACGTTTTTCAAACATATGATAGATGATAATAACTTTGCCCTGATAGAATGTGTCCTGCATTTTTAATTTTATTTTTAAAATTATTTTTATTAATTAATTTTTCTTACAGATGTTTCTCCTTTTTCCTCCACTGACACCCTCCTCCCAATCCCATCCCCCCACCCGCCCCGTCCCCAGTTTTGTTGTCTGTGTCCATTGGTTACGCATACATGCATATAAGTTCTGTGGTTATCTCTTCCCTCTCCCTGCCTTCTCTTCTGAGGTTTGTCAGTCTGTACCCTACTTCTATGTCTCTGGGTCTATTTTGTTCATAAGTTTGTTTTGTTCATTATATTCCACAAATAAGTGAGATCATGTGATATTTGTCTTTCTCTGCTTGGCTTGTTTTGCTTAGGATAATACTCTCCAGGTCCCACCATGTCATCTCAAAGGATACGAGATTTTTCTTTCTTACAGCTGCATAGTACTCCATGGTGTACATGTACCACAGTTTTTTTTATCCACTCACCTATTGATGGACACTTGGGCTGTTGTCCTGTATTTTTTTTTTTTTTTTATTCTCACCCAAGGACATTTTTGCATTGATCTTCAGATAGTACGGGAGGAAGAGAGGACGGAAGAGAGAGAGAGAAACATCGATGTGAGAGAGACACATTAACTGGCTGCCACCCACATGACCCCAACCGGGGCCGGGGACAAACTGCAACCCAGGTACGTGCCCTTAGCGGGAACCGAACCCGGGCCTCTGGTCCGCGGGCCGACACTCTAACCGCTGAGCCAAACCAGCCAGGGCTGTTGTCCTGTATTTTTTAAAACACATGTGTAATTATACCTAAATTAATGGAGATAAAAAAGTTACTGTTATTTTATTTTATTAAAGTTTTTTTCTTTATTGATTTTAGAGAGAGAGGAAGGAGAGGGAGAGAGAGATAGAAACATCGATGAGAGAGAACGATTGGCTGCCTCCTGCATGGCCACCTCCTGCATGCCCACCACTGGGGATGGGACCCACAACCTAGGCATGTGTCCTGATCGGGAATTGAACTGGCGATCTCCTGGTGCGTGGGTCGACACTCAACCACTGAACCACACTGGCTGGGCTAAGTTACTGTTATTTTAAAAATGTCTATATTTCTAAGGTACAATGCCCGACACATAGCATGTGCTTAATAAATGTTTGTTGACCCGAATTTAACTGAGACAAATGAACTTTTTGCAGGTTATTTAAAATCACATATCAGAGCATTTAGAAGCTCTACTTGCTAATTCATTTTGGGTTGAAAAAAAAAATCAACCTCAATCAGAGATAGTCAAGATACTGATCATTTATATGTTGTATGAATAATAATTATTTATTAAGCATTGGTAGGAATCTAACCATAGGGTTAAAATAGAATTAGTTCAGGTTACCATGAAACTACCTGGGGATGTAATTTCAGAATCTGTCACTTATGTCACTCATTTCTTTCGTTTTGTTTTTTCATCCATAAAATGGAGCTGGAGAGAGGCCTGTCATTTAATACCAAGGCCCCTTTAAGGGTGACTTATCTCTCCCACTTAAATCATGGTTCATACTGCATAACTGGAAAGTAGAGCATACGGTGCGTGTCAAGAGCCCTCAGCCATTTGTGGAAGATCATAAAAAGATTGTCACAGCAGTTTGTCACTTGGTTCATCTCTGTAGCGAATTAGTTAAGAATTTTGCCGTAATTTGAGGGCAATGGGGTGGGAGTGGGGTAGACGAAAAGAAAGGTTTGGTCCTTTTTCCGTCATCCCCTTTGAGGGTCCCCCTTGCATTCCCCTTCAGGAAATGGAATAGAAAAAAAAAACCCCAAAACAACATTTGTTAGTCACTTTGGGGCAACCACATCTTAAGACAGTAAGCAGGTCAATTGGAACAAGGACAGTGATTGCTATAAAACCGACAGGTGCTCTCATTGACACAGCACAGGGCACACACAGAAAGAGCCAAGTGCACGAGGCAGGCAACCAGAGCAAACGACAATGACCGTCCTGCACCCCTCAGCCATGGTGAGTAGCAATAATCATTTCTGTCTAGGCATGGTCATGCCCTAGGATTTCAGAGAAGCAGATTTCTCAGGAATCAGGCTCCATTGGGGTTATTTCTTTAAAAAATAGAGCTGACTTTAATTTTGACCCCTGTCTGGTGGTGAAAAAGAAAAAAATAACTGAAAGGTACAACGGGGTGGAAAACAACTCTTCACCTGGTAGCTTCTGCGCAGTTGGTGTTAGCTTGTGTGGCTCCTGATGGACAGGATCTCTCCTGTGGCCACCACTGTAGAGATAGACTGGCTTAACTCTAATCTCATGTGGGAGCTTAGCCAGCCTTCTAGGATATATATGCATATACATGGACATATATGTATATATATTCAGGGTGTCCCCCCCAAAATGTGTACACACATATAAAATTGTAGATTCTATTACATTTGGAAAATGAAATGAATTTTAATAAATACTGCCTATATAATCATTCAAAGTGTGTATACACTTTTGGGGGACACCCTGTATTAACCAAGGAAGTTGGGATCCCAAGAGGTTTAATGGTTTCCCCAAGACCACAGGTAGGGAAGGAGTGCCCTGGATGAAGTGACACCACCCAGGAGCACACCTCGGACAGCTCCTGGAGGAGCGAGACCTGCCGCGTCTCCTCTGAGGGCTGATCATGTTTGCATGGTCTCATTCCTCTCTGAGGAGAGCGAGATGTTAGTGTGATGGAAATCTACATCCCTGGGTCTAGAATCTTGCTTGGCCGGAGTCTGGGAAAACCCGGAAAGGAGTTTAATGTAGAGGAGCATGAAAGCAGGGCTTGGGAAATCACTCACCCTTATTGGCTTAAATCATCCCTCTTTTTTTCTTTGTTTCTAAGCCATGCAACCTAAAAGAGCTTAGATGTCATTAAAAAGTTATGGCACATGGTGATGCTAATACTATATTATACTTACATATTGGTTTAGAGATGTCAAGAAATG